CAACTATAAAATGATAGCTTTAAAAACAAACAAATAAATATGTTATTCTTTAAAATCTAACTTTAGCACAAGAATATTCAGAAATAGATCAAATTCAAATGATTTCCTATTGGTATTAATTACTTTGTGTAATCTTCAGAATCAAGTAATTCAAATAAATATTTGTAACCAAAGGGACATATTTGGTCTTCTTCCTTTCTTCTATTCTTCCTTCTTTTCTCTTTTGTTTTCACTTTCTTTCTTGGTTAATTTCTTGCTTTTTTTCTTTCTTTCCCCTTTTCTTTCTTTCAATTGCTTTCTTGCTTCTTTTATTTTTCTGTCAGAAGCACACTGACTACACCCAGCAGTGCTCTGTGGCTGCACACTTGGGGTTGGCTGCATTTGAAGCAAGTGCTTTGCCTCCTGCAGTATCTCTCTGGTCCCAATCTTGCTTTTACTTGAACTTTACTTCAAAGTAATCAATTTCTTGCATGCAATAATTTTCAGGTGTGATAAAAATAAATGAAACCTGAGATTGTGTGATTGTAGTCGTACAAATTTTTGCACGTGGTAAGATTGTGTCAAGTTATGACCTTCCAAACCCATACTGCAAAACTGCAAATAAAACTCTTGATTCAAAGTAAGGTCTATGGACCATGCTACTGTCCATACCTGTGTTATGCTCTATTTGTGTAATGCTTTGAAAATGAGATAGCATCCTACAACATATTATTTAAGCAACGTTCTGTCAATCTATATTTCGTTTAAAGTAAAAAGTTGGAAAAAAAAGAGGCTAACAGAATACAGTCTGTTTATTTTGTAAGAAAAAAGAGTAAAAAGCAGAGCAAAAAGCATTATTGAAAGGGTCAACAGTTTCTCAAAGTTCTTCCTCTTCAAAGTTCAATGACACAGGGTTTTCAGGCTCAAGGAGATTTTCCCTCACGTTCATTTATATATTGTATATTGGCAAGTTCTTTCGCCCTTTCACTCTCTCTTTATGTTTATACATATAAATGTATCACATATATGTAAATTATTTCCATATATAATAAATATAATGAACATATAATATATACATGGATATACTTTATGTTTGTATATGTATAGGTATATTTAAATTTGTATATCTCATTTTATATGGTTGTAAAGTACTATATCACTAATATTTATAACAAACATCTTACTTAGCAATTTACTTAGGAAATGTTTACCCTGACAAAAATGAAATCCATTGCATTTTAACAGATCGTTCTAATTTAACTATCTTTATAATTGAAAAATAGCAGTGTAAATTTTATATGATGGTAATTAATTTAAACTGTTTATATTGTTTCTTATTAAAAATGACTGCTTAAAATGCCAATATTGAGATAATGTCCCAATTTTAATGAAATCTGTATGGTATATAATTTAACTTGAGCTTCTTGCTTTGAAGATCATGATTCACACAATGCTTGCTTTCAAATTTTCTCAAAATAAGAATTATCTTTACTGTAGTGACTATAATTCTTTACATTTTATTTTATGTCTTTCGTACACTTGCTATATTCTTTGCCATTTATCTTTTATTTTTCTTTTTGGGTCACACCCAGAGATGCACAGAAGTTACTCCTGGTTCATGCACTCAGGAATTACTCCTGGCAGTGCTTGGGGGATAATATGGGATGCTGGGAATTGAACCTAGGTCAGCTGCATGCAAGGCAAACGCCCTACCCACTGTGCTATTGCTCCAGCCCCTGCCGTTTATCTTTTTATCCTGATCCATCCAGAAAAGATTTTCAATATTATAATGCTTTATATTGTAAAATTATGTTTTATGATACTATAGCACATAGATTTTAATAGTATTGTATTAAGAACACTATTTTTATTTTAATAGTGTACTTTAAACACTAAGTTCAATGTATAATCAAGTATCATTTCATCATAGGATGTGACAAAGCAGAGTAAAGCATTTACTTCATTTTTTAATGGGCAACATATCTCAAACTAAAAGTACTTTTCTTTTCAATAAGGTAAATTTTAGTTAGAAAGATGCATATTATAAATAATACATTAGAAAACATTTGAAGATAAAAATAAGTTATGAATTATGCTGCTCGAGAACTTAATTTTTGCTTGTGGTTTGCTGAAAAACATGGATATTCTTAAAATTTGTAGCACGGAAATTCTTATTATAAAAATAAATTATTTATTTTATATTTGTACTCATGTTGGTCCTTCCCTCAGGAGAACCACAAACTTTCTTTTGATAAAATTTTTATCAGTTTTCTCTATGAATGTGTAGTAGACACATTTTGGATTATTTCCCAGTTCTGAATGAATCTTGATAATTTTCTCTCACCAAACCAAGGTTTAGAATGTGTTTTGTACTTCTTCAATAGAGTCCTATAATTTCATAATAATTATAATTATTTTTATGGTTAATGAAAAATTATAAGTGTTTTAATACTATTATTTTTAATATTGAAGGGATAGTAGTATGTTACAAGCAATAGTATTTTAGGATCTTACATATCATAAATAGTAATAATATGTTTTTTTCCAACTATCTCAGACAGCAGAATAGCTAAAATACCTACTGGAGCAGCAAATATATAATACTTTTCCACAGAGAGGAGGGTATTGGTTTTTTTTTTTTTTTTTTGCTTTAAATGTTGACCTATTACAAAGTGATTCAAGACACTGGTTAGGAAAGAGCCAACTTAAGTGACAGGTGAATGCCACCAATGCAGCCTCTTCCCAACCTGGACCCTCTGATTAAGAAGACCGGCTATTATTCTGATTTTTCTCGTGTCTCCCCATCATTCCCTTCCTCATGGCACCATTCTTCTTTCCCTCATATCAAGGGTGTTTTTCTTAATCTTGGGGACAGGAATCACTTTGTACATATAGTTCTTAAATTAGTTTTGTAACCTGGGACTCCCAATAGTCCCTCACATGGGAGAAGGGGAGCTGGTAGTTTACATATCAAATCCTGAGGTACATTATTGTATAATCCTCAAATCTTTCAGTAGATGTAAGCAGAAACATGGCCCCCTGCACAGAGAGGCAGAAATCTGCCTGGATATTACAAAAGTTCATGGGGAGAAGTTAATTGCAAACATTTAATTTTATAGACACAGAAATCAAATTTGAGTCGAATCACTTTGTTTTGTGTCTACACGAGCAGTGTCTGCAATTTTATTCACCTTAGAAATAAGAAGCATCTAAAGAATCACTTACTAGTTTTGTGCTAGGAAATCGTCCCAAGCAAGGCTTAGGGAAACCGGAGTCCACTGCCAGCCAGTCTTGGCCAATCAGACCAGAAGTTCCATGTGAGAACCCTATAGTACCTAGCATCCCTGGGACCACCGCAGCAAGGCTCAGAGGACCATAGAGTACAGGGACTGAGGAGGGTCAGGAATATGCACTGCATGTACCTTAACCTCTGTGTTATTGCCCAACCCCAGGGAATCTGTTTTTAAATGGAGCTGGGTGGTGAATTTTTATTTACAGTTTCTTAATTATGGATCAAGACCCCTGCTCTCAAAACTCATTTTCCCACCTAGTTTGTATTTGAAATTTACACTAGGAAAGATACTTATAAGAAAATAAGTGTAAATATGTATCACTTGTATCACTTGTCATCCCGTTGATCATCCATTTGTTCAAAATGGCGCCAGTAAAGTCTCCACTCGTCCCTGTCGCATACTAGTGAATGCGTAAAACTGTGTATACTGAAATGTCTATATATTATCAAAATAAGACAACCCAGTTCACAATTATAATAACTAAATAAATTATTAAAAAGGAAAATTGAGCAGCTAGTCAAGTTGAAAGGAATGGAACACTGGGAATTCATGTGTCAAAGACTTCTCAAGGTGTTTGGAGAGATGGTGCAACTGGTAGCACACTTGCCTTGCATGTAGCGACCCAGGTTGGATCTCCATTGCCACAGTGGTCTCCTGAGCTCCAAGGAGTGATTCCTGATTGTACAGCCTGGAGAAAATCCTCAGCACCCTGGTTGTGACCCCAAAACAACTGAATTAAAGGAAAACAAAACAATAAATACTTTATAAAGCTAACGAGAATGAGGCATTAAAGAGTGCTTTAGAGACTTGAGCAATAGACAGCGAGTAGGGCACGTGCCTTGCACACTGCTCACCTGGGTTCAGTTCCCAGTATCCCATATGGTTCCCCAAGCACCGCCAGGAATAATTCCTGAGTGCAGAGGCAGAAGTAACTCCTGTGCATCACCAGGTGTTACCCAAAAAGAAAAAAAAGTGTGCTTTACATTTCCTGAGACAGTTGGAGAGGACAAGTTGTATGTGTTCAGGAAACAATGGTACAGTGATGGGATGTCATTCTGGCTATCTCTTTTGATATCTTCATCTGCAGATGAGATAATGAAATAGAAATCAGAAATTCAGGATGAGAAATAAGATGTACTAATGACTCTATGACAAGGAAGAGAGCTGAAAATTCTACAAAATTTGTAACCCAAGAGTCAGGGCTGGATTAGAACATATTGCATGTGCGCTGTGGAGAGTGACTGCCTGCTGCCTGTATTTTAAACACAGTGATTGTGGGAAACTACCTGGATATGCCTATCCTTAAATTTCTCACTGGTAAAGGATCTATGCTTATATAACTTTATTTTATTAACTTTATTTTTTTCTAGAAATAAACTACTTGTAGGCTGAGTGTTTTAATTTGCATTTGAGCACAGAGTAAATAAAGTGCATTAAACCTTATTAAAAGAGGAAAATATCATGTGCATTTGCCTTCAGTTTGTCCATTTTCCATATAATTTAAAGTGATTTTGATGTTCAAACATTAAGAAAAAAACATCATACTCCCCTTTTATGACAGTGAACATATTGACATGACGCAAGTTCAGTGAGAATTTCCTGTATTGTGGTTCTAGAGTATTTTAGAAGTCAGTGATTTTACTGCTTCTTGCTTGCACCACAGTGCCTCGCTGATAGATGATCCAAAAACTTTAGTTAAATAAACTTTTTTTAAAATTTTTAGATCTCTTTTAACACTGCTTTTGGATACCTTCACCTCTGAACCCCAGAACTGGCATCAAAACTTTGAAAGAGCAACTTCATTCTTGTCTATTTCACCTTTGTGACATCGTTTTTGATGGCAGGTATGTTCCGACCAATTTATAAAATTAAAAATAGTGAAAGTATGTCTATGAATATTGCAAATTTAAGAGCAGGGCTTTTGGAAACAGTGATCTTTTTCAAAAGACTTTTCCTAGTATCAGTACTTTTCAGTTTTTATTTTTCTGATTCTTCATTTTGTAGCATAGAAATTATTTTGCGAAGTTTTCCCCAAAAATTTTAAAAAGCGACTTCTCAAGGGACATAATTACATCCTACATAGAAATGTAATTCACCAGGCTAAGCTCTGAGAAACATTAGAACATAAAAATATAAATTCATTAATGGCAGTTATCAAAAATTGCACTTGATATTTTTTTTGACTTACTATTTGCTGTGACTTCTCAAAGCCACTGGGTTTTGTGAGCAGTTTCTTAATAAAAATAGTTTCTGGGAGTGAGCTGCATTTAATATAGGATATTATTTCTTTTTGAGGGGCTCAGGGGAGCTCCAATAATAATGCTTGTTCCTCCTGTCCCCCCAACATTCACCCACTCCAGAAACACTGGACCTGGAAGAGTGACCCAGCCATGTCTTCAGGCCGTGCAATGCTGGAGGCCCCAACACCTAGTATTGCTGATAGAAGGAGCTACAATACTAGGGATCAAACTTGGGTTTTCACATTTGCATGTTTTCTAGGTAATATCTATAAGCAATCAATTTTCGAGGCCCCCCCACACCCAGTTTTGCTGAAAGAAGGAGTTACAATACTAGGGATCAAACTTGGGGTTTCTTATTTGCATGTTTTTCAGGTAATATCTATAAGCAATCAATTTTGGATATGAGAAAATGTGATGCTCTTATAAAAAATAGTTGTTTAGTAGGCAGAGATATGACTCAAGGAGGTAGACCATATGCCTAATAAGTGTAATGCCCTAAAATCAATGCCAGCCCTGCAGAGTAAAGCCAGTCAACCCCATGTACTGTAGTGTTAGATCCAAATGTCTGGGAGTGGTTTTGGGTCCTCAACACAATTGGTGTGACCTCTTTAAAAATGGTGGTAGATACGTCAGAAGTCATTTTAATGTTAAAATAGTATAGATCCCGAGATCTACTTCTTGGGGAACCTCACCAGAGCAGGGCGTCCAAAGTCTCCTCATCCCCATGAGACCTTCACAAAGTTAAGAGCAGCTAGATATCACTCAGACAGGGAATGAGTTACAATTAGGAGAAGGGAACATCTCCAGAAGTATTATTTTGACAATGAGAATGTATAGTAAATCAAAGACTCTGAGCCTAGCAAACTCATTTCATTTCTTATTGGAACCTTCAACACATTGAAGGAATAACTTTTTTCTTTTTGCTACCTCCAGGTCTACTGGGTTGTTTATTTTTATTTTTTTATTTTACTTATTTATTTTTTATATTTTTATTAGTGAAACACCATGAGGTACAGTTATAGACTTATAAATTTTTGTACTTGGGTTTCAGTTGTACAATAATCAAGAAATAACATTTTTAATGGATCCTTGGTTTTCTTTTATACCTATGGGACTCAAATACTATTCTTGTGACTTTTCTACAAAATATAAAAGTCAGTCTCATTCATGTAAGTGCATAAACAAATTTGTTGATCTTTTCTATCCAAGGTCTCTAATATTCTCTGACAAAATTAAATAAAAATAATATATTAAAGCAATTGTACTTAGATCGTGGTAAAGAAGTAAAAGTATTGATGATCCTCCTGAAGAATAAGAACTATGCCATGTAAAAATATTGGCATTTGGGTTTAGAAAGAATACAGCAAGTAGGAGGTCTGCCTTACACTGGCCAGGTTGGGTTTGATTCCTGGTGCCACAAATGATCCCTGGGGAACCATTTATGATCACATCAAACACTGGCTCCCAATGGGCAGAAATTAGGAAAATCGATGGATGTGATATCTTCACTTTTCATTTCTTCATTGTAAAGATGATTGTGATATAAATTAACAAAATGCATTGATTCTCATTCTGTTATTTGTGATTTTCAGAGCTTCAACTCCTGTGCTTTTCTTTTCAACTATTTCCTTTCTTTTCTTTCTCTCCAGCTTCTCGGACCACTCAGTGGAGGTGGATATCTGGAATCTTAGGAATACTGTGCCTTTTACTGTTGATGCTTTTGGGAATTCTGTTGAGTAAGAGTAAGGTTTTCTTGGAAATGTATAAAAATTAAAATACTGATAAAATTTTTAACTTTAAACATTTTATTTTGATAATATATATTTTTCATAAACTCTTTCTAATTTACTAATTTTCTAAATTATTTTATGCAGCATATTTGAACCGAAGTAGTAAGCCAACCAATTCAACAGGAATCACTGTGAATTCCCAGGAAGGTAGGATTCATGCTTTGCAAAATATTGGTGGAAAAAAGAAATGGGTAGCTCTGTGTTTTTCATCTTATGTGGATGATTCTGTTTTCAGCTGTGTGATTTTGCTATTATGTAAATATAAATTGCTATGATTTCACATAGCAATACAAAAACATCTTTTAATTGTACGATTAAGTACTCTCTAATAAAAATTCAAATTATGCTGAATGTGCATATTCACATAATTTTACATGTGTACAAGAAATATGTTAAGGTAGAATCTGGAGATGTACTTTTTCTTTATGGGTTTTTATGTTTAAGCAGCTGATCAAAACTAAGTTACACTAAATATTACTCAATACAAATTAATGCCTATGGTTGCTTAGAATATATATGTATGTGTGTATATATATATACATATATATATATTTGCTTCCTTTGGATTCCTAGTACCTTTATTTCATGACTCAGAATATAGTGCAAATATGTACAATATATTTTTCAGTGAAATCAAGCTCAAACCCTCAGTTTTTAATGAATTTTTTCTAACTAGCACTAAGTTGTTATACCATGTTCTATGATCATATGATGCTTTATTTAAAACTCTCCTTTAGCATATTTTCTAGCTTTCTAGGAATATAATAGGCATATAAGACTTTCTATATAGTTAAGACATGATATGTTGACATGATAAATTTTAATAATATGAGTCACGGTAATAATAACTTTCATCATGTGATTTATTATTTATTCGTATAGTGAGAAATTTAAGATCTATGATACAGGTTAGAGTGTTAGACAAATGACTAGGCAAATGTTCTAAGCTCTATCGGTAATAATATTATAGAATTTTGCTTATGCTTCACTCGTCTTTGTTTTGAATATAAACTATAGCATGCATGATATCAGAATTTTATTCCTATATCTCTTGCTCTTTTTATTTCAGAAAATATGCTTAAATATTTTTCTCTAAAAAAAATGTCCCTTGAATATAATTTGCTACTTAAAATGCAAAGCCTAACTATGGGTTACTTCATGAAAAAAAGGTATAGAAATACTTAGAAAGATAATTCTCTCCTTATCTTGTATTCATGCTCTCCCTCTATTACACCCTGCACTCACATTTTAATATACTCACTGGAGTGATAGCACAGCAGTAGGGCGTTTGCCTTGCGCACAGCCAGCCCAGACCAAGCTGGGTTTGATTCCTCCGCCCTTCTCAGAGAGCCCGGCAAGCTACCAAAAGTATCTCGCCCACAGGGCAAAGCCTGGCAAACTACCCGTGAGATATTCAATATGCCAAACACAGTGACAACAAGTCTTAAAATGCAGATGTTACTGGCCCGCTCAACCAAATCGATGAACAATGGGAGGACAGTGTTGTTTGTGACCCAATGTTGTCAGATGCGATTTATTAATGATTGAATGTTAGATAATTCAGACTATGTTGCTAGGGTAGTATTAATCTCTATGAAGATTTTCAATAAATATTTGTTAAAAATTATCAGTAAATGATTTTTGTATCAGGAAAAAGCCCGGGAAAAAGCAGAATCTCCAAACTCACTGGTAATGTATTTTCTTAGGTGATTCCACCTGCTGTTCTTGTCCGGAAGGGTGGATTGGATACAAATGCAGCTGTTACTTCATTTCTAACGAGGAAAAAAGTTGGGAAGCAAGTAGGAATTTCTGTGAATTTAAGAATTCCAGTCTCCTTCAATTGTACAGCAGAGAAGAACTGGTATGTATTTCATTCTATTTTTTGTATGTATTTTGATACACTATCTATGTAAGTGGAATAATATGACTTACTTTTTATAATAGCTGGTTTTATTTTGAATAATGGCTTACAAATTTCCTCTGTCCAGAAACAATATTTATAAAATCTAAGTAGTGTTTAATCAAATATTTATAAAATCCACATGGTGTTTAATCAAATATATATAGGGAACAATTTAAGAAATATTCAATGTAATATGAGAAAATTTTCTCAGAGAATTTAAGATCTATTATTTTTATTCAAATAGGTCACTACTTTTCTTCAAATACTAACCAAACGACTTTATAATTCTAGTTTTAAAAGTTGAACGTATATCTAATTTTTAAACTTTGTGTCCTTTGATTACATTTTAGAAAAGATATGAAAATTGTGCTCATTAAAATCTCAATTCCTTATGTTGTAGTGCTTTCCGAACAGTGCTCATGAGAGCTGGACCATTATCCGTGACACTCAGCCCTGCTGTGCGGGCATCAACCCTGCCGTGAGGGCTGGTGGGTTCAGTGCTTGGGCTGGCCATGTGGTGCTGCCTGGTTGAATAGTACTGAGGGTGACCAGGTCCACTCCAGCAGTACTTGGGGGAACACGTGGTGCCTGAGATTGAACTGAGATAAATGCATCTAAGGCATGTGCTTCGGTCACTTCTGATTAAAGATATCAGTATGATTATTTTATACTTTAAATGGTGCTATAGCATGTTCAACGTTGAGTTATCTCTCCAACTCCCAAAACGCAATTCTTAAGTGAAAAACCCCCTAGATGCACAAGTATTCAGGATGCTGTTTATTGGGATCCCGCTGATTGATATGTGAAAAAAAGAACCCCAAGAAAATTATCACGCCCTTTTAAACATTTTTATTCCTCAAGAAGTAAGATCTTGTGATAAATTTTCTCTATATATTAATGGATTACTGAGAAAATAAAAGATTCAATGAATGATACTTTCTAATGTAGACGCTAAAAATGATTTTAGTTTGTGGCATTGAAAGGCAGAATCTAATGCACTGTGATAACTTTCTTAGATGCACATTACTCTCTGCATTCATTGAGTTTAGGTTCATGTGTCTGACTCTGTTTTCAAGCAGCATTTTTTGAGGTACAGTAAGAAAGTTTACTGGATTGGAATTTCTTACAATAAGGATCGTCGCGCCTGGTTGTGGCTGAATGGCACTGCAGTCTCCCTCAATCTGTAAGTTTATGGCCGCTCACGCCTTTTCTACTTTTGATATGTTTGTCCTTCGAGTTCCACACAGAATAATGCAGAATATTAAGTCCAATTACCTGCTCAGGGCTGAAAGTACAGAAAAGAGTCAACAAAATAGCAATTTTACCCCCACACAGATAAAATGCAAGCTCATGCTCAGGTGATATTACATGAGTGTAGATGCAGTCATAAAATATATGTACACCCGCTCTCATCTTGCCTGCCTACAAGCACTGGCTGTGCATGCCCCTGTCCAACTGTCACCATCACAGATGCTATCTAATAGGAGCCATCATTTTATTCATGCTAGTGGACTCAGAAATTCTTAGTACACTCTCCATATTCAAATATTCTAGGTTAAATTCTTATTTGCAACCATTGCATTTCATTTGCATTCATTCTTTTGGGATTTGTAACATCATACAATAATGAACTTGATTTTCTTGGCTCGATTTTCTAGACTAGGGTAGCTAATGTAATTGTGAGCAAAACAGAAGCAGCATGCAGTATGTATTAAGATGCAAAATAAGTCCTCTGACCTCAGTGATATTGATTATGAAGGCAATTAATAAGCTTTTGTTAATTACATTTGGAAGCTGAAAAATTTTGATATAGAATGAAAAAGTTACAAAAATCAGTATATCAATATTATGAATACCCTGTGTCAAGTCTGTAATGTAATAAAATCACTGTCAGCATACTTTTAATTCCATTTTTATCTGTTAACTTTCTTTTTTATTACAGATTTAGAGATTTCCAAGCTTTTGACACAACAAAGTGCGTATGGTATAGCACAAGTGAAAAGTTTTTTGACCATAGCTGTGAAGATGAAAATTATTATATCTGCAAGAAAAAGCTTATTTAGATATTCATTCTTTTGTTGTCTTTGGGCATATAGGCGTAACAATACTAAAAATGTTACTTTACATTTTATATTAACATTGTCTATTACTGAAATATCTGTTGAATGTTTCAAAAGGTGTCTCATGAATTTTTTCTCTATGTAAAGCCATGCACTTTAAAATTTATAAAATTTGTCCAACCATGCTTTAGATTATGTAGCTTCAAGATAATTTTATGAATGTTTTGATACTACATAGACTTCAATACCAAATTAAATGTTTAAGTTTATGTTTTGTAAATTATCTTTGCAGAAATTAAAATAAAAGCAATTCATACAGAATATATATATATATATATATATATATATATATATATATATATACCTTTCTCATTTAGTGTGTAGGATAGCATATTCAGTTGGGAAGTCCATCTCATCTACCTTTCTGGATGTCATTTGTTCTTGAATATTGATATGTGAATATATTTTCATTTGTATAATTTCACTCATATGTACCTTAGCGTGACTTTTGCATTTAGATGGTTAGGCGGCCCCTGAACTTCTTAAACAGTATAGGTAGGTTTCTTCCCAGTTTGGAAAGTTCTCATCATTGTTTCTAGAAATAAACTCATTACTCCCTTCTGCTGTTCGCTTTCTGGAGCTTTAATGATACCTCTGTTTCATTTTTTTCTGGATATATAAATATATACATGTATATATGTATATTTCTGAGCACCTTAGATTTTCTAAATCTCTTTTTTATCTTCCACTTCTCATCATATATATTTCTAGCTTTAGCCTCACTAATTCTTTTCTCCACAACATCTATACTATTTCTAATTTTAAGAGCAATCTTTACTTAATTTCTTCATTTATACATGAGGTAATTTTTTGTAGCAGCCAACCCTGGCGGTGCTTAGAACTCATGCCAGGCTCTACACTCAGGGATCACTCCTGAGAGCTCAGAGGACCATACAGGATATTAGGGATTGAACCCAAGTCAACTGCATGCAACGCAAGTTCTGTGTCTTGTACTGTCTTTAATAGTATTTCTCTTGCCCTGATCAAAGATAATTTTTTTATTACTAGGTAACTTACGTATTCTCTCTGCTACTTAATTTTCTTCCTGAATTATGAGCTTTCCTTCTGTGCTTAACTATGACAGTTATTTTTAGTTCTATATTAGATCACAACTTTGTGTTTGTCTAGTTATTGTTTGTTTGCTCATATTTGCTTCCTGAAATGCTCTGTTACTGTCCTATACCATATCCTTAGTATGCTTTCCTGTGTGTTTTTGGTCTATAAATAATTTGATAGCTTTCTTATATTCAGTGGGTGGTGGTGTGGGTTAGATTTAAATCTCTATCAGGACAATGAATGAGGTGAGAATAGCCAGTGTCTGGGTATGAAAGCTCAATGCAAGTCAAGGGAACCAAATTAGAATGCATTGTCACTGATTTCACCCCACCCCTCCATTAACCTTGTCCAAGTCTAACCCTATTTGAACAATCTCTGTTGGTGATATCTTTCTGTTTCTGTTTCTTCTCTCTCCATCTCTGTTTCTCTCTCTGCTACTGTCTCTGTTTCTGACTCTCTCCTCTCTCTCTGAGTTATAGTCTCTCTCTCTCTCTCTCTCTCTCTCTCTCTCTCTCTCTTTGAGTTACAGGCCTATATAATAAATTCACTTGTAGTGATTTCAGCTTTTTCGCCTCTGTTTTATAATAAATTTTTCATGAAGAGAATAAACCATGTTGAGTTATAATTGTTTTGTCAGGTATAATTTAAAAGGAAGAAGTGCTGACAGCAATGGACTCATTGTATTGTAGTGTTGACATCACACCTCAAATCTTCCCATTATTACTGCAATATTATTGATTTTAACATTTTATAGGTTTTAGGCATATAGCAATATAATTTGATATCTATACCTACAATGTAATGATTGCCACAAAGACTATAGTTTTCGTTGTCATACTAGTGACTCTTAAACTAATTTACCAATTCTCTTCTTTCTCACTCCATCCGGTAACCTCTTTCAATTCGGTTTTATGATTTCAATTTTGGAGTTCTACTCCTGTTGTTTTGTTGTTGATTTCTCTGTTTTCAAGTGGGAGTTGGTGCTTGCAGACCATATCCAGGAATCTTGGGGCCACTCTCATTGAACAACAGCCCTGTGGGCAAGCCTGAGGGATTGGTACTCAGCATGGTGAAGATGTTGCTCTGGCCCAGTGATGCTTGGGATAGACAACGGCAACATGCTGGGTGGTTCTCAGGTGCTTTGTGCTGTCAGGATTGAATCAATAGTTTGACCTGTGTACTCCTGTCCTTTGACCTATGTCCCTGGCTCTAGTTTTGTTCTTGACCTTACATATATGAGTGGGGTTACACTCATATATATTTTTCTTTCTATCTGAATTGACACAAAACTTTAAAGATACAGTAGTATTGTTTGACCTGAAAAGATTTTATTCACATTAGAGCAAACATTTTTGTTTCACAAGATATATAACTTTACTGATGGGATAATTATCTCTCGCCTTCTTTATATATTCATTAGTTAGTGGGAATTTAGAATTTTTACTACATTTTAAAATACTGTTCCAATGAAATATGATTCTTTTCCATGTCAATTTTTTGACATGGAAAATGACAGTTTGATGAAAATCAACAACCATGTAAGGATAAAAATAGAATCAAATAAAACTAAAATCAAAACTAGTATCTCAGGCAACTCAGTGGAAATAAGGGATAAACATAGGAACCGGCCAGGTTTGATGGATAAGGATAACAGTTTGAAGGTTTCCCCAGCACTAACCAGCCCTTTAATTTCTCAGATGATGTCTTTTTAGCATCCTTTGTAATTATTTATTAATGGCTTACAGAAGTGATAGCCCAAGCTGCCCATAAATAAAGAGAAAGTCTGATAATAGATATGAGAAAACCAATTAGAAGTTGTAGAACTAGGTAAAATAGAAATAGAAATTTACTGAAAGGCCTAAGTAGCAAAATCAACACATCTGGAGAACTGAATAAATGAGTTTGAAGACAAGATGCAAAAATACTGAATAAAAACCAGAAGATAAAAAAGTGTAAAATGAAAGGAATGTATCAAACAATTATAAGAAATATTTTAAAAAATGAGGCTGAGACACTGGTACAACTGGTAGGGCACTTCCTTACATGTGACCAACCTAGGCTTGATCTCCAGCTACTGTTGGTCTCCTGAGCTTTCTCAGAAAATATCTTTGAGCACAAATCCAGGAGGAAGCAAGAGCACCACAGAGTATGGACACAAAGCAAAACAAAAAACAAAAAAAAAAAGACAAAAAAGAAGAATTCAAGAACAATCAAAGAATAAAAGAGCTATAGAAGCTTCTGGAGAAGTTGGACTATGAGATCAACAGAGAACTACTGATCAAATGCATCCAAATTCAAAAAGATCCAAGTCTCACTTAAAATGAACCCAATAGAAAGACTCCAAGATGCATTATAATCAAAAAGACAAAGACAGAATTCTGAAAGCAGAAAGTTTAAAAAAGGAAATTATATACAAAAAATTTCCATAAGCTTCACAGTGGATCTATTAAATATAACTTTGTAGGGCAGAACAGAGTAGTACTATATAGGAAATAAGTCTAATTAAATAAACATATCAACAAGAATAGTCAGTTTATTCATTATTCAAGATGAAAAGAATGATAGAAAAAATCTTAGAAAAGTAATATTTTAAAAAATCTAGCCTTGAAACCAGCTTTGTGAGAAACATTAAAAAGTCTTTAAAATACTATACAAACTTCACAAACACTCTTAATTTTAGAAAATGGTGGCAATAGATTTGTACAGTCCCTATAAAATATGAAATATTGGTATAAAATTAGCTTTAAGCTTGTTGGATTTAAAGTACTATATTTTTTTTCTCTCCCAGTTGTTTAAAGTTTTATTTTTTATCATAAATGGATATTGAATCTGACCAAAAAATTTATCCTCATCTAGAAATATGTTCAGATGATTTTCATCTTATCATTTGCAGGTATGGTGCATAACATTCAGTGAGTTAGATGTGTTGAACCATCCTTAAATCCCTGGATAAATTCCACTAGGCTTTATATGTAATTTTGTTTCAAGAACTATGTTCAATTAAGTGAGAATTTTATTTAAAAATTTTTGCATCCATGTTTCTTGGAGATTCTTATGATAATTTTCTTTTTGTGTACCGTTTGCTGGTTTCATAAAACAAATGCTGCTGAAGCTTGTATTGAATCACGAAACCTACTTAAAGATCAGGAAAAAGAAATGGTAGCTATATATCTCCATCTTAAACTGTAGTATTAAGATAGACTAATGAAAATAGTAAATCATTAGAAAAAAATGAAACTCAGATGAATGGAATAAAATTGAGAAGCATAACAGGAAACAGCTGATATTAACAAACAAGTCAAAAAATATAAAATAGGAAACAAAGGCTAATTTCAAGACCATGTTCTCTGTTGAATATATGTTTTCCTTGTTTTCTCTGATCTTTTTACTCTGGTGAAAACATGCTCACTTGAATGTGTGTTCCTCTTTCCATCTCCTGTCATGTTTCTCTAATAAGGCTCTTTTAATAAAATTATTTTTCTTCACTAAAATACATAGAAAAATAAAATATCTTTTTGAAAATGGTGGTTAGAAAACTGACTAGTCATATAAAAAAAGATATGGACCAATATCTTACTTTATTGCACAAAACTTAAAAATGAAAGATTTAGGCATTGGGCCTGGGTACATAAAATATGTTGGAGAAAATATAAGTAAAACACTCCATGGTGTTCACATCGGACATATCTTCAGTGATTTATCTCCATTGGCAGGTAAAATAAAATAAAAATAAATAAATGAACTATCTTAAAACAAAAACCTTCTTCACTGAAAAAGATATCACTGAAACAAAAGACATCTTACATATGCGAAAATAATATTCTCACACATGACTAAAGAAAATTAATATCCAAAAAAAATAGAGCACAAAACTGAAAACAAAGCAT